GGTTCTTACTTAGGGAGCTCGGACCCTTAACAGGGAGCTCGCTCTTAACAGGGAGCTCGGGCTCCTAGTAGGGAGCTCGGACTTAGGGAGCTCAGGTTCTTATTTAGGGAGCTCGGACCCTTAACAGGGAGCTCGCTCTTAACAAGGAGCTCGGGCTCCTAGTAGGGAGCTCGGACCCTTAACAGAGAGCTCGCTCTTAACAGGGAACTCGGACTCAGTACAACGGTCTGGAGTTCGGGCTCAATAGCGAGCTTGGACATTGATCTCGGTGCTTGCTTCGGGCGCTCTACTGTCCCGAATTGCTTGTTTCTGCCATGTGTCGAGTAACTGCGAGATCGGGCCAAATTCCCCTTCATCAGCTTGCATGCATGTCATTATTCAATTCAACGACAACGATGGGGAATAATACCAGAGAAAATCCCATTTGAGCGCCCAAAGTGATGGTACTTCAGAAGACTACCAAACTTGCAGTCCCACGGTCCGATGTTAGAATTTTTGGTACCCATTGCCATTCTTCTTGACTACTTTGGGATTGATCAGTACCATTATTGATGAAAATATGTCTTTATCATTCACATATATACGAGACTAAAATTAAATTAAAACATGCATGTCATTGCTTTTTCGTAGTGAAACATCAAATCTGAGGTTTCAACTCTAAGGCCTTGTTCGTCCAACTCACCCGTGTGAGGAGGATAGATAAGTTGGTCCGCACAAGAATTGACCTGACCAACTGTTCATGTTTTAATATTAATAGGTCACACACAAAAGAATGATTCCCAAGCAACTCAATTATCAGGATAACTAGCAATTGCCTCTACTTTAATAGATAAAACGGCCATTGTCTAACTTTACCTAAATAAACAAGAAATAAAATACTAATAAATACACTTGTCCGGATAAATGTTTCTCAAAAAACATTTCAACAGATAAATGCTTTTTAACAAGGTAAATGACTTCTCAAAAAACAAATTAGGCCTAGAGGGCAATGATCAATAAATGTCTCTCGTGTGATCTAACAGCATATTTTCCTCTGTATTGATCAACTACAAAAAGGCAATAGTGCCAAATATAAAGAGGTGCAAATGAAGCCAAAGTAGACCAAAGATGTGTTTGGATTGATAGAAAGTAAGAGAAAATTCAGACAGTTTAGGTAAAGTTCTCAAGGATTTTATGAAATTTCTTGAAAAAATTCCCCTCAATTTTCTGATTCTCTTGTTTACTCTCAAACCACACAACCTAGAAATATCTCAATAGGTATTTCATTTCTCTATTACAGTTGATGGTTGCAAATCAATTTAACCAAATGATGCAAGAAATGGTAAGTCCCGCATCGAGTCATTACTACCAATGAAAAAGCTCCTTGTCGAGAGAGTTTGGGTTTCCTGCACTTGGTTACATGTGTGCTGGGATGCATTCCCAATCAAATTGGAACACGTCAGAATTCGCATGGCATCTGAGGTCACATGTGTAAAGTTATGTAAACGGACCTTTTGCATCACTTTATTTTCAATATCACATTTTTTTCAAATTAAAATGTAAAAAAGAAAGAGTAAAATAGATATTTTGACCACCTCTAAGTTCGAGAGACGGTAAAGAGGAAAAATACAAAACAATGTTACAAACCAAACCCTTCCGTAGGGTGGATGCCATTAACAACGATTGCAACCTTTGCAGGGAAAAAATTCTGGTGTTGAAATGTTTATACTAAACTGCCAGCATAGCTCCTCCATATTAAAACTTGAGTCAAGGTTCAGTGTCTTTTATTCCGCAAATGAGAACAGAAGCAACAAATCGGAAAATCTTGCGACTTTAGTGTATGCTATATCCATTTGATTGAGGTAAAGATTTAGAAGTCTTGAAGTTGAGATAAGTTCAAGAGAAGAATTAATAAACGTTAATTACTCTATAAAAAAGAAGCCATTACCAAATCCAATTCAAAATGAGCTGCAGGTGTTTTGAAAAAAGCAGAGTACTCAAGTGAAGAAGAAATTATGGGCACATGAAACAATTACTTGCAAATGACTTCCACCCTTATTTGGTCAAGATTTCATATGCTTCACAAATTTCTTGAGTTTTCGATAGCAATGTCTTCACCTGTGGAAGTCGGCATTTATGGAGTTATAGATTTATGCCCATCGAGATAATAAACTTTTCTAATTTCTTCATCCCATGTTTCAGGAGATATGTGTAGCTCTCTATTTGGAGTTCCGATCTCTTCTTCTTTCATTCTATGTTAAATATAGAAAAGGGGATTAGGGTTTTACAGACAACATTAAAATTTGCGATGTTTCCTTTTTTTTTAAGTATTAAAAAGCAAAACTAACAGATTTAAACTGACCGTTTAAATGGCTCACATATCTGAATTAGAGTTCTATACAAATTCTGACGTGTCCCAATTTGATTGGGAGTGCACCCCTGCGCAAAGGAAACCGAGTGCAGGAAATCCTAACTCCCTTGTTGAATAGCTTGCTTTTTCTTGTACGTGTAACCCTACCATTATTCAGTTGCCTTTCCTGATACCAAAGATTGAAACAGGACACCTCATAGAAGTATTAGATCAAATGAGTTCAATAGTAGAGGGCATGTACTAGATGCATTCACTCCAATCGATTCTCTAGAGCAATATAAAGGGTTTAAAAAAAGGATCAGAACTTAGTTCAAGGTTTGCATTCATTGACATGCTTGCCAAAAAATGAGAAAGAAACAAACATGAAATACAAAATGGAAATGTGCAACAATCTACATGATCATGCAGTTATGAAGAGCGGAAGAGCACAAAAAAGGTTTATTCCATAAGTGATTAGGACCGAAATGCCTCAGCTACTGTTTTTTACCTGTCATTCCTGCAACCACCTGCAAAGATATAATCAGAAAGTAATTAATTACCTATAACTAAACACATCTCTTGCGAAACAGTATATTTTAGTAAAATAAAATGTTTAACATTGTAGAAGTTGAAAGGCTTGTGACCAAATCAAGCATTAAATTCCGATGCTTATCTAAGGTACAAGCATTGGAGTTGCAGTTTCTTACAATTTATACTTCATACAAAGACAAATTACATAGCATTTAGATGAGCATTTCAATCATGTCAGACGTCTTGAACAGCCAATTTATCAAATTAGGACAAATGAAAACAAATTCTAAAGATGAGTAATGTGGATGAACACTTTGATTAAGAACTTAAATACTTACATCACCTAAAGCAGGATGTGATACCTGCTTAGATGTTTCAAAGGAATCCAAGATAGGCCTGACCACAGCTGGAAGGAAGAGGCCTGAAATTCAAATGAATGACCAGATTAGATGAACAAATCCCACCAAACAAGTTATTTAAACTAACTAATTGGGCACAAATACTACTTGTCATCTTACAAACAACTATACTGGCATAAAATGCTGGTGTTTCATAAAAGCCATTCCAGGAATCATCTCTGGTTTCACATCTTTCAGGGATCATATAGATGAGCTACTGTACACTTGTTATGGACGTCCACATGACAAGGTAATTCTAATTAGGATTCATATCAATCAAAATATGCTTTGTTGAATTTTGAAAATAAAGTGAGGTCTGAGGAAACAATAATGAGGAGAATCAAAGGTACCTTGTGCTTATGGTTTGCAATCCACATAATCTTTAAGGAGGTGCCACATAGTTCTCTTTTATTTTATTTTATTGTTTTGATGCTGAAACCCTTTTTGTGAGCAGCAATACTTTTTGATGTTTCTTTTCTTTTTTGTATATACCCATTGTACATTGCTTTGCTGTACATTGGTAAGCAATGTAATCCCTTTGACTGTTATAATTGAATACAATACCTCAGATTTCAAAATAATAATAATAAGAATAATAATAATAATAACATCTCCTTCATAATGACCTAGCCCTTACATGTGTTGGTTTGAATTTGATTGGAAATTTAAAGAGAAGGATTAGAAATAAAATTATGCATACTTTTGGTGATGTGGGAAAAACAAGAAGCTTTTCAATGTATATCCACTTTAATGCAGCTCCACAAAGCATAAATTTGCTTGTTTTCAGAAAGTGAGATTGATCATGTATTGCCATATTTTGAGCATATTATGCAAAACAGTGTTCTGGCATCATAACAAATTGCCAATCATCTTCCAGTCAAAAAATTATCAGATGGCTGATGGAAAAACCAACTGAGGTTGACATTTATGTTGGAAGACAAGTGAACCTCCTTTGTTCTCTGTGCAACCACCCAGGAACAACAACCTTTTTTGAAGCAAAGGATCATCCAATGGAGAGGAAGATGTGCAACCTTCCAACACTCAACATGCTATCATGTATATACCACCCAACCATGAGGGAAGCATCAACTAGAAGCAACTATAGATCAGATGGAAACTTCACAAAAGAAAATAATAATTTTTGTTCTTGAAATATTGAATCATCTTTTTTTTTATTAAACAAATATTGAAGCATCTAGAACCATATTTGCTAATGGATATAAGAATCAGGGAAGTATGTTTTATTTTGCACCTCTCTGGACCTTAAATCTCCTCAAGTAGCTAACCACTGCCATAGCAGCAGTCTGAAATTTTGCTTTAAATAAATGAAGTTCAATTTCATCACAGTGAAGCCATGAATCAGGCTGCAAATATGATGGAAAATCAACCGATGAAGGTGGAAAAGATGGGGAAGCTGCCAAAAGCCCAAAATAAGAGGGAATGAACCACATAATCTTAAAATCACATCATCTGCTACATAGAGTCAAAATGATTAAGCATTTGTCTCTCTAGACAAGGTACATAGGAGATAAGAAAACCAAACAACAATTGATTTGGGCAATAACTAAAATCCCATATTTATACAAAACCAAAGAACTAATACATTAAATGGTAAGAGGGACAAAACACTTCACTAAACAGGCTTCTCAATTGGGTCAAGTAGGGAAACCCTAGAAAACCCTGCCTGCTTTACCATGTGGAGTAATCTTACAGCCAATCTGAACAGTTCATCATATAAGGGACCCACCAGATCAGACATGTTCATCCAGTCATCCTGCAGGCTACATCAGCCCTATACACATCCTTATATTGGATTTTGCCCAATTTATAATAACTGCCTAACTTCTCAAACCTAAGTTAACAATTGATATAACAAACCCACTCCCTCCCTATAATAGCATGGCCCTTGATCATTGAGGCTGCTTCTCTCTTAGTCCCCTTTTCTACTATTTTCTCCTTCAAAATCCTAGCATCTTGTGCTCTGGTCTTTTATTTTCTTCTTTTTTCTTTTGAGCTGGGAAGGGGTGTAAATTTAGTCCTGCGTTACATCTCCTCTCATGTATATGTAGAATGATCTAGTATAATTAACTTATTCCCATAGTTTTCAAGGCGCCAAGGCGAGGCTAGGCAACAAGGGGATGCCTTGTCGCCTAGTCGCCTAAGCGATGGATTTTTTATGTAGAAAACATAGATCCTATGGTAGTTCCCTAGGTATAACCATATTTTCTTAATAATTATTCATAATTTTCATAAGAAAAGTATAGAGTTCATGTGTTAAAGTATAGAAGATCAACGTATTCATGAGAAGAAAAAGATGAAGGAAAAGAAATTTCAAAAAATATAGGGGCTGAACCCTTATTTTTGTTATAGTAGTAGACAAAATTTTAAGTTCTTCCTTACTTATTGGTTCAGGTTTTAAAGTCTTTGGGGGTTTAATACAGCATTTAGAAATGTTTATATTGATTAAACCCTAACAAATAAGAAAATAATAAAAAGAAATTAGTATATAAACACACAAAATGAATATTTTAGTTTAATAGTGCCTATTTTATAATTATAATGTCAAAAAAGTATTTTATAATACATAGTACAAAACTGTTTGGCGATTAGGCGAGGCAAGCCTCAAAGGGCACCTTGTCGCCTAGGCGTCGCCTTGACAACTATGCTTATTGCATAATTCACTAAAACATAAAAAAGAAAATATTTTCTCATCAACATTGATCTTGTTTCAAGGTGTCCAATCATCCCTAGGTGACCATTAGGGATGTCAATGGTATCTGATCGTCCAAGTCCAAATCCAAAATCTGATCTGATTAAACCAGATTCAAATCTCAAATATAAGATCCTTTTTCTCTAAAAAAGGTAAGGTATTATTTATTGAAAAAAGTATACAAGGTGTATACAAAGGGAGGCTCGAGGCCTCAAACCAAAAAAGACCAAAACCAAAACTCCATAAAAGGGCCTAAACCCACTCCAACATAGAATCAGGACTAGGCCCTAAAACAACCACCCAGACTAAGAGAATGAACGGCCAAAACCAGAACTAGAGTACACACAACTCCTCAAGACAACATCAAGCACACTGAAGCCCAGTAAGTGAGTAGCCAAAAACTCAACAGTATACACTGAAAACATTTCAGCCAAAAAATGACTAGCCAGTAGTTGCTGATCTTCCTCTACCTCTTCTACCCCTACCTCTAGTACTACAAGCTCCTCTACCGCTGGGCTTCACCACCACCTCATCATAGAAGTCCTAACTCTTTTTGGCACTTCTACAACCTGAACCCGGTAGATAGTATAAGCTATCAGAGGATTGATCTGATGAAACACCACCCATGTCCAATTATAAGATCCATTTATAATTGAATCAGAATTGGGTCCAGCCCAATCCAATCAAGACCCAAATCTGATAATATCAGTGTATATACATATATTTATATAAAACTGATCATGTTCATTAGCAAGGCAGATTTAGTAGGTGTACGTTTTATCGAGTGTGTTAGGAAGTTTTCTGGAAGTTAAAATGTAATTCATTTTACTAAGGATAATGACATCATAGTCAAATTTTAGTTCATGTTATTAAGAATGCATGATGTTCTAAACATTCTTTACTTTAATTTATTAGTGATATATAATATCTAGATCAGATCCAAGTCCTAGTTGGATCCAACAGATATAATTGAATCCGATTATTAATGGGATTGGATTGAGATCTAGGTAGCCCCACTCTGGATCTAATCCACTTAAAGCCCTATGATCATTTTGGGTGCATGGCCCACATAAGTCATTTCCTAGATGAAAGTGAGAGTAGGCTAGCTAACACCTTGACTTCACAGGTTAGATGACATTTGCTTATCATTGAGCAAACTTCAACTTAGAACCTAATGCATGTAATGTTGCTTCTCCTTCATACAACATAGAGATTCCAATTACATTTTTGCATTATGCTTTCCTAAATGCACTGCTAGGTTTCCTCCACCTGGAATAATACTCCATATGAGATGTGGAAACCACTTGAATGAAATATTTTATTTTAGTTTTCATTAAGCATATCTTTACGATGCTTGGTTGTTGGAGCCTTTAGAAACCAAACAATTCAGTCATTCTTTAGGAAAAGCTCCACTTGGGGGACATTTATGAAAGCACAAATATCCCCTAGGCTACTTCAAAGATGGTGTTTATGCCTTTATGATATCATGACCTCCTAAGTCCTAAACAACAGCTTTAGAAAACAACCTTGTTGCTAAGTGTAATAAAACTTATAGTACTTGCTGTCAAATGGCATCAAGTAAGCTACTATCGCTTATTGCCCTCATGCATTAATGGGAAGAAACTTATACGTTCCTGGAGAACTCGCCCCTAAAAGCTAACTGTTAGAGGGAGGGAACCCGAGCATATATATACCCCACAACAGCATCCCATACTACCGATGTGGGATATCTCACGTTAGCATCCCATACTACCGATGTGGGACAAATGGATCGTAACAGAAACACTACATTTTCAAGCAAAAAAAAAACGTAGTTTTGGAAGAAACCTAACAATAAATATTGCAAGAGCTGATGTGCTTCGTCGTAATTTAACAATAGGACCGGAGAAACTTAAAACCCGAGAGAGCATGGGTATAATGAACCCCTAATGGGAGGGAAAACCCTAATAATAGTTTAGAAAATCGAATCGACTGGGAAAAGTCGAAAAAAGAGGAATCAAAACCCGATTCATCTACATACTGAAAAAGAGAATATGCTATTATTCATCTTACATATTCCTACATGTTAATTGAATTATACCAAAATCTACAGGAGGAAGAAAACTTAAGCAAACGACAATTAATGAACAAAATCGAGAGAGATAAGAAAAAAGGTACAAATGTTGAAATTAGAGTTTGAAAGAGGTGAAATACTTACCGACACCAGCGATAAGGCACGAAGCTGCGACCACGGGCTCTTGAACGACGAACATTTTCAGCTTCTCCATGACCGCCATCTCTCTCTCTCTCTCTCTCTCTCTCTGCGTCGCTGTAACTCCCAGGTCTCACTCTCACCCTTTCTTTTCCTTTGGGAATAATTTCGGCCCCTGAACTACTTTGTCAGATGGATCAACACAACAACAGTTCGGTAGACGTCGGGAACGAGATCGTCAGGATGACATTTGTAACTATTACGTTCTTACCGGTACCAGCAGGTGAAGGCGTCAAGCATTAACAATTTAACATATAATGACAGTGTATCAGATAGTTGATCGGTTGATAGGAAGTAATTGATGGGCAGCTTTATGGTTTTTTTTTACAAATGATGCTCTCGGAAAAAGCAAAACGAAACTCAAGATTACATACTTTTGTCACACGTACAGTGTAACCGCACGAATAAAAACCAGCCCTCGTTCCACATGCTCTCTTTACGCGAAAATTCCATTTCCTAAATGTGTAGGCGTTAAATTCCATTTTCCGAATGTTCGGCCATCGACCTTACACCCCCCCACAAATACTTTTAAGTATATAAATTAGATTATAACTTTTACAACCCTGGCTGTAGGTTTTTATATGCAGTCACTTGAAAAGCCGTGCAGTCAAGAAGAAAGCTCAATCACCAAGGAAGCCCTCCCCTCCCATGTCCTAAACGGTTCCCCTACTCACTTTGCTCCTCAAGTTTTTGGTTATATTAATGCAATCCAATTTCCAAATTCACCATGTAACTAAGGTTTAATTTGAAAGGAGTACCAATATAAATATCCATAGAGTGCGGATTCCACAAATATATGATATCTAAAAAACAACTTTGAATCATAAATATAATACAAAATAAGGTGTTATTTATCAAAAATCATGAATGGGTTTTAAACTTTTCATCGATCAAAACTCTTTCCATACCATATATCTCTTTCGTATCATAGATTTTCCCATAAAATGCAAAATCTTGTAATACATTTTTTTATATTATTTTATATATATTTATACTCTACATATTTATATTTATACTCTTTTTAAACTGAACCTAAAAGCATTCCCAAGAATGGACCAATCTTGCAAGTTATTATTTTTTATATGGTAAATGATAAGGTTTTTAGTTTTTTCTAAAAAAGTTTTGAGTGTTAGATGAGGTAGCATTAACGTCCCATCCCATGTAAAAAAGAGCCCCTTCCTCGTAAATAGTTTTACTTTGGTTTTACAATTTTGTACTTGTATCTTATCTTATTATGCAGCCAAAATTTAAATTTAAATTTAAAATAAAAAAAAAAAGCCACTGCAAAACATGATTGAAAAGACACATTCAAACCTGAACAAACTGCCCAAGTCCAACCAAATACACCTTTCCATCCCGGTCTTAGGTTGCCTTTAACCAAATTTAACCCATCCATTTCATATTGAACCTACGTTGTCAGGCTATTGTCAGTCCGAGATTTTACCATTACACTAAGCAAATTCCCTATATTAAAAATAGTTGCAAATACTTGCCTTGGATTGACCATGATTTCCCCAATGTAGAAGATCTGGATCTGATTGGATATTGCAATCAATCAAGCTAAGCAAATGATTTGTCACAATTCTAATCAACTTTTTTTTTATCTTTTATGCTCGGTTTGAAAGAGTACAAATATAAATATATACAATACAAATACATACAAAATACAAGATTTTGCACTCTACATATTTATATTTGTATACCTAAACTGAGCCCATAGAACTAAAAGCAACTATCCTGCCCCTAAATTTTAGTGAAAACCCACCTAATTGGTTCCTACTTTTATGATGTCAGTCGATTGGTTATAAGTTTATTAGGTATCATGTCTTTATGGCATCATAATTGAACCCATGTTCAAAACTTCAAATTGCAACAATATAGAAATACACATTAAAGAGTGAAATTAGGGGTGCAATTGAGCTGAGTCGAGCCAAACTTCTGCATGTCTTAGGTCAATTTGACTAAAATACTATTAGGCTCGAGTTCAAGCTCAATTCAATTAAATATTCAATGAGCTCAAGGTTGGTTCAAAAACTCGAAAATGAATATATTTTTATATTCTATAATGTATGTATATGTTAATCGAACCAGGCTCACAAGCTATCAAACCAAAATTTTTATTGTCAATCTCTTCAAATAACAAATCAAACTTACCTTGAGTTAAATATCCCAGTTTTTGAATTTGGTTCCTCTCTAATTATAATGATAGAAATGTAATTGGAACAACCACTCTTCTCATTTAAATGCCTCTAATTATGCCTTGTATTTAAGGTGTTAATTCTTATTAACATTCATTAAATCCTATTCATAACTAGAATACCCTATTTTTGAATTTAGTCTATCTCTAATTGTGAGGGCACCAAATATAATTTAAACTACAATATTTCTCATCATTCAATTCCCTCTCATAAAATATCTTTGATGTCATAATTAAATAATAATAATAATAAAAGATAAAAGATAAAAACACACAAAAGTATAAAATACAAAAAAAATTGTAAAAACATTTAGTCACATCTCTAATATCATATATTCATCATATTAAACAAAAATAAGTGTGACAAATAAGAATAATACTTATAGCCATAAAAATATAAAAAAAAAAAAAACTAGAAGATTTTGAATATGCATTATTTACTATTATTGTCATCATCAGAAAAAATTGTCAAGTGCACTTACTAGTGCTTAAAAGTTTGCCACTAATGCTTAAAAGTAAAACATGACATATGGCATTTTGTTTATTGGTGGGGTTTAGACTATATTATTATTATGGTATCAACAAGGTTTAAAGTAGAGGTGGCAATTTCTATTTCTAAATCAACAACCCATCCAATTGTGTGACCCACCTATTTCTAAAGCATGTCAAGCACCCCTACGACTACGCAGATCGAGTATGCTCTCAAAACTGGCAATTTTCCTAAACATGCATACACATGGTCGATGGGACTTGGGAGACGTTATGGGAGCGCAACATGAAGACCATCAGAAATTACTTGCAGTGATGGTCCCCCGGGCTAATTTCTTTTCTTCTTCTCTCCTGCTTGTCTTCTTGCTACCCAACACAATTCAATCCAAACCAAGTGCCCAGCGCTTCAAGTTCCTCCATCATATCCCGTTCTTCAGTGGAGATGTACTCCCAAGTCGGACAATATGGCCGCTCATCTTGTATCTAGATATGTTTTATCCAGTACGCAGGCCTTGTATACAAGTACAAATTTTGCATGTTTACGCTTACTAAATAAAGAAGGAATGGCCATGATATGTCCGAGAGAGAGAGCGTAAATTTCTCTTCACTATTTTTTTGTAGAGAAAAGAAAAACCTTGAATTAACAAAGCAAACGAACACAGCAGCAAAGGTTCGATGGTGGGTTACCTTCACTCAAAAAATATTTTTGTATATGCTTTATACCAGAATACGACAAACAATATTACAAAAAGATACACAACCCCTATCAAGAAGGGACCACGCCAACCCTCTTTCCAGACATTTTCATGTCATGGAACTCCTAATATGCCTGTACATTCCATTACCTTCCATGATAGTAATCATGATGATTACATTTCACACAGCAATGAATTGAAGATAATTGACCCACAAAACTAAGAATGAAAAAAAATATATAATGGCAAAAAGAGAAACAAAGGGCAAAATGGAATGCATGTATATTTGACATTAACTTACTAGGCAAAAAGTGAGGATAATCATGAAATATGATCAACAGTGGATAATAAATGCCCTAAAATTGTGGACGATTCCGAGCCGCACATATTGAGTATACAAAAAAAATAAAAATAAAAATAAGGCAAGAGGGGAAATGCTACCGGACCAACTTAAGACAGACGGACAACTTGATGCAGGACTCGAGACAAAAATTTTAAAGGGGGTAGAGATGAAATGATGCAAATCAATAAGCAAATTTTGAATATTCCTCTCTTGGGGTGTCTTTAAATGAAACAACACCTGAATAGTGTTTTGGGTGTAATCCACTCCAAACACTGAAGCCTTCCAGTTGTTTGCGCATAGGAAGGAACCAGCTAATTGGGAGGGGTCTTTAGAAGATGCAATTTCAAATAGAACCAGTTCGGACATTGTGGTGGTAATGACTAATGCCACAGTCAAGGATGTGTTTCCTCGACATTTCACAGCTCTATCACCCCCTCCCCCATTCCTCCCACACCTTTTTTTTTCTTTTTAACGTTTTTATGTATTTCTTCCGTTAGGGTAGGCTTGCCCACTTCTGCAAAGTTATCATAGGCTAAGTGGGTCATAACCACCCACATTCTCCACGCAAACTAAAAAACACCCACTGACCGACTCCATGGTGCTGAGACAAGAGCTAGTGGACAACGACCCCAATTACTGTAGTGTGAAAATGGTGACAACCCAAAAACATGGTATGCAATCCTGGACCCCAACTCAACACACCCAAATGCATGCAGGGACTTCCGAAAAATACCGACTTCCAGCAGCCTCAAACAGACATGGCTCGACTGATGGCCAACTTGGCCCACTCGGCAGATTCTTTAATCAAATGGTCATCAGATGACAAGCATTCATTTAAAAAGTCTCTGCTTGAGACAGACTGCTGAATCAAGGAAGCTGCATTACTACCCAGTGTATCAGCTAGATCTCCCAGTACTCCAATTGCCGTCTTAGTCACTGTATCGTCCCTGCAAATAAATAAATAAACAAATAAAATGGTTAGTAACTAAAGATTGAAGAAATGAAGGAAACATGAAACCGATATGCAAGGCCCCCAATAAAACTCACATGTCTTTCTCCATGTACAAGCTGTCCAAGAACTGGATGATGTGAGGGGCATAGGGCATCAGCAGTTGTGTCTTGGGAGAATTCTTGAAGCCTTGGAAAACCCCCGAGTATGCTTCCAAGATCCCATTCCTTAGAAGATTGGTGTACTCTATTATTTCATCATCAGCACCAGATGCATGGACAGACAGTTCGGCTGCACTCTGGAGCATGGGCATCGCATACATCAAGTACTTCTCAAAATTTTCTCCAATCGCCAGGGCAATGTCACCAAAGCATGAGAAGATAGGAGGCTTCACAGTCCGATGCAACTGATTGCTAGACAAATCCTTCAGGAGTTGTGTCATGATCCCGTCACAGTACGGAAGTATCTTATCCTCCAATGCCCTGCATAGATCCCCAACTACACCAACTGTGACAGCACAGACCTGATACTCCTCAAAATTCTGAAGACCCATTTCTAAATACTTGTAAAATTCTTGCATGTACTTGGCAAATTCCTGGCCTGTTGCATAAGCAAAGGCTCCAATGGCAAGCATGGCCTCTTCATGTACAGTGGCGCTTCTGCAAGCAAAAACCCTCAAGAAAAGGCTCATCATCTGATCAGCGTATTGCATGAAG